ATGAATTTTGAGTCACGAACAATGATTGCCAGACGAATCATAGCTATAGAGTGTTCGACGTAGTGTCAATCCGTGATCGCGTTGATGCAACTGCCCATGTTAGGCGAGCAACCTTGCCTTGACGTCATTGACCTTGCCCCGCCTCAGCCCCGCCTTCCTGTCTCCATGTCCAGCACATCGCCAACTACAATACACATTCGCAAACGTTCAGAAAGTCCGGGGCTAACATAAAGTCGGTGGTTTCCGGGGCATGTCTCCTAGCGCAAGCAAACGAGCGTATCACTCCGCGGTTTTGTGATTCACTCTTAGGTTAGCCTCTCAACCGGATCGTTAGAAGAGCACACACGCACTATCGCTTGCGGTGACAGAATAGCTAATGCCATAAGTTACTGTTACCTGTTCGCTCGGCGACAATGTCGGGAAACAGGCTGTGTGCCAAGTGCCAGGAAATTATCTCAAAAGGGCCAGATAAGAGTGTCCAAGAAAACGACCATCATGATAACAACAAGGCGCTTTTACAAGCAGTCGAACAAAACTGCTATGTTTGCAGTTGGACTTTGAGAGATTACAGATCGCGTAGGTCTAATCGACGCCAGAAACCTCACATCGCTCATCATACAACATACATGTGGGAAAACAAACGTATCAGATACCGCGCAAGCGACGTGCTGGAATTCGAGTTATATATCAACATCTATGCTACAGAGGACAAACTATCGACCGTAACTTCTTTCTGGCCGTTGGAGCCAGCCATCAGAGGTAAATACTTCTCTGCATTCGAGATGAGGCGCTAAGGAACCTAGTGCAAATTGCACAGAGTATCTGTTCAGAGTTGAGTCCATCAACAAAATCGGAACAGACTTTCTCCCTGATACGAAAATGAATGAACGAATGTGTACTAGAACACAGTGTATGCCAATCATCTTTGGGTCACAGAGTACTCCCAACTAGGCTTATATACATCGACTCAACTATCACAAGCTCCAAAATATCGGCAAGGATCTGTCAAGGTGACTCGCTTCCCATACAAACACCATACATTACCCTACGCCATTGCTGGGGCAATACCAAATTCTTGACCACGACGCGCACAAATCTCAGCACGTTCGAATTGTCGATCCCTGTAGATAGTCTATCTAGGACATTTCAGGACGCTCTCTTTGCGACTGTGAAGTTAGGCTTCCAATACATTTGGATCGATTCTCTTTGCATCTTGCAGGACAACCCTGAAGACTGGAAGCAGGAATCGCGTTCCATGCATAAGGTATATAAATACTCAAGTTGTACCATTTCAGCTTCCGGCTTTCCTGCTGGAGCAGAAGGATTCCTGCCATCCAAGCGTCGCATTGATCCAGTTCCGGGGAATATAACTCCGCGTAATCACGTTCCGGAAACTGAATGCTCAACCACCCAGGATGACTCTAGGGGATGCTATCATATAACGACTGGGCACCCGTGGTCCACATTAAGAAAAGGCCCTATATTCTCTCGGGCCTGGACACTGCAAGAACAACTGCTTGTAAGTGCTTTTGCATACACATAATTACGTCCACAGTCTGATTGTTAGTCAACCCGGACTGTACACTTCGATGATGACCAAGTGTATTGGATTTGTAAACGTGCAGTTATGAATGAAACCTGGCCTTCTGGCTGGTTAGATACGCCTCTAGAGAGGCCCTTTCGAGTCGGAATGGATAAATCTTAGATGTTCAACCTTGGGAATATACCTTACAATGATGTCAGTCACGATCGTGCCCACCAGGCATCTAGAGCCACTTATGCAGACTGACTAAGCTTAGGCTTCTCTCTACGTCGCCTGGTACGATGTTATATCAGACTACTCATATCGTAGTCTTACATTTGCCACGGACCAGCTACCTGCCATAGCCGGCATTCTCGACGAATTCGCACAATATCTCGACGATAAAAGCATATTTGGACTATGGATCAAGGATCCTCATCGCGCAATACTCTTCTATGAGTTCGATCATGATGACCAATCCCCGAATTACAGAACCGTACCACCATGGACCGACTCGCCAAGCTGGTCATGGCTGGCACGCGGAAAACACGTGAATTGGGACCGTGATTTAAACAAAGCTGCAGTGCATCGCATCTGTGACATCCAATTCGCTCATCACTCAGAGTTAAAGCTTTCTGGGCCTCTTTTACAATGTCCAAGCGAATATCGCTGGTCATCAAGTTCAGAAATGGAGGGTCCTTCATACTTTTTCATCCCTGGTTCGAACGACAGCAGTTTCACGTTTACATGGTATCAAGACAAATGATTCGACTCAACCGTTGAAGAATACTTGGCCGACATGACTCGGCCATCTACTCCAAAAGAGCCCCAAGCTGCTCTGCAGTATCGTGAAGATACGCTTGCGCAGGGCGTTAGGATTACTGACGAGCTCAGTGGTGCTAGATTGGATACACCATCGTCAACAAGTCGATCATCTAGCCCAAAACAGTGGATTCAAGATAATTGAGCGAAGGCGTTTCTCGGAAACATTCTCATCATGCCGATACTGTGTTACGTGGAGGATCCTGAGTACGAGGACGAGGACGAAGACTTTTCTCAAAAGGGCACCGTGATGGGTCTTCTGTTACATCCATTGCCTGGAGCCAATCCCGGGGTATATCGACGAGTGGGTATTGTAGAGGCTGAGATACGAGGCGATGACAAGATGAATGTTCACATAGTTCAGCGGCGGTTCGAGGCCTATCGACAGCCACTTGACCCTCAACTCTTCCAGGAAGAAGACCGCTATGGGAATTATGTAGTTACGGTCTTTTGACGAATCCTCGCAAGGGTAAGAAAGTATGGAACCCAAGCACCGTTTGTAGGCCAGTCGGAGCAAGACGGCCACGCTGACGACAGCTTTTCCAATGAATATGAGCAGCCTCGCAAAAAGACTTAGAGGTAATCGCTATGATCAGAGATCAAACCAAAAAGCTAGTACTAGCAGCGGACGAAGTTCCAACGGAACATGATAAAAAGGTTTCGTGAGAACTACAATAGAATGCGCGCCAGCTGTTCGCTTTCTCTACCCTATGCCTGCGATTTAGCCTACAAACCTCAATCCGTGCACCTGCCACAGTAGCCACAATCGTGAGCGGAACAAGCAGTGTAGTCTGGCTCCGATCCAGAATCTTCAGAGCCAGTGTCGAATTCGTACCTATCATCTAGACCGATACCCCCATCGCTATATTTGAACTGGTCGGATTCATCATCTTGCGTAGAGACGACATTCATACAAGTCTTCTCCCAGCGGTCTGACAGGTCAGCAGGCAAGGCGTGCACACCCTTGCCATACTGAAACCGGACCTCCAAGCGGTCCGCTCCAGGGCAATACACCTCGAGCAACTTGCCTGCGTTACTCCTAGCGAGTTTAACAATCGTATCTAGAAGTGTGGCAAAGCGGCGGATGCCTTCTTCGTTATCTTTGGCCCAGGCCTGCACATCGTTCTTGACATTCTGCACTCGGATGTCTTCGAAAAGTCCAGCACCGTTGTGATAGGCGACGATGAAGTTGGATATCTGTTTGATCCAGAGCGCTGGGTGGATGTCGCTCATGTCTATGTCTTTCTTGTACTTCCCTGAGCGCGTCTTCAGATCGAAAATGACGTCTTGCAGCACCGTGGTTCCACCCTGTTTGACAGTCAAAGCATCATGTGTGCTTATCATGAAGTCTGATGGCCTGCTGATCGTTGTGTCTTGGAGTGCTGCCAGAAGGTCATCGGGGTCTTTGGCGCTCTCTGAATGCGTAGCATCATTGACTGCTCCGGCTGTTTCAATGTAGCCGTCACTCTCGAACCGCACGAGGCACTCCAAGCCGCCGAACTCATATCGTATGATGCGTTGGTGGGTTTCGGAGCCTCTAACGCTCTGCTCCCATGTGGTGTATGCCTCTGGAAAGGTATGACCATAACCTCTAACGTCTTTGATAACTTCTTTAGGGTCATTCTCTTTTCGTACGAAGAAGACGGTCTCGCCGACGACCTCGATGTTGAAACGGAAAGCTTTGTCGACACCCCGAGCGAAGCGGAGGAGGTTGCCAAGGGTGCTTCCACAAGCGAAGAGATCGGTGCTCGCAGAGTTGAATTCAGGGTTGGTCTCAATAATCGCACGCACTACGGGTGCCATTGGATATTCGGGATACATAGCGGCGTTGGGGTCACGAAAGTATTGCCCATAGTCCTCTGGCAGACGCCGTGGTGTAGGAAGTGGTGTCCACCGAGGAGGTTTTCCTATGACTGTTAACTCGGCCTGGTAATTGCGAGAAAGAGCGCACCTGGAATGACAATGGTGGGTACTTTGCCGTTGAGCCAATTGTAGGATGCTACATACTGGCAATCGGATATCTCTGCTAGAGCTGCGGGTTTCACGCTCAGATCCGAATTGCGAAACTCCTTGACAAGGTCTCCAAGCGGATGTCTCTTAAGGTCAGGTTTCACCTGTTCCTTGGGCTTCGCAAAGAACGGGACTCTTCCACCACGGCCTCGCCCTCTCCGTGGAGCAAAGCCACCTCTGCTGTCGCTGCCTGGATATGAAGCCATGGATGATGTTGTGACACTGTATTAGATGAAAACAGGAATCGAGGATTTCAAGCGCAGTATTGCGCTGAATAGAAGGCGATACGCCGACTTCAAGTAGGCGATGATGCCTGAAACAAGGCTGAGTTCATGTGGCGTAGTTTGCTCAACCTGCAGGTCGCACAATGCATGCCTGGTAGGCCTCGATTCGTCCAGAACTCACCAGACTATGCAGGCAAACAAGTTTTGTTGTTTTTCTGCACGTCAACTGCGACTGGTTTCCAATCATTCGCACAGCCCGTTATCAGAGAATCGTCACGCATGAGCTGTGGTTTAGTGTCACATCCTTTTTATTCATTTCGAAAGCTCAAAAAGGCCAAACATCTCCCTCGTAGCATCCTCAAATATCGGCAGATCTGAGCCTTTCTTGACAAGTGCCACTTTACACGATACGAGCTTTACATATGGCGGACCAAGAGGCGACAGCCAAGCGAGCCGCGGGATTGACGAAGCTCTTCAACGCCGTCATTCACGGCAATCGCGACATCAAGACGGTGGGCGATGGCAATCGGTTTCTGGAGGCATTCTATTCTCAAGAGGACGCCTCGAAGTGTGTGGAGCGCCTGATTGCGTCTCCGGCAGGGTTAGCGGCGGTCTCTGTCGCATTTAGGTTGACACGTGAGAGCACGTTTCTCAACGGCTTGGCTACATCCGTCATCCTCCGACTCGCCGAGCCATCGGTCAAGCAACTCTACAGTGGCCAGTTTCTGCAACGCGTCCTTGAACAAATTGTACAACCACCTACATTTTGGAACACACTCGTTGAGGCACACATTGCTCATGTGCTTTCCAGCGATGCCACGCGTGCATTCGCGTGGCTCTTACTGGAGCTGCTATACAGCCGCTCGGAGGACATCCCAGACGTGCGCGACATTGCAGAGCGTGTCACTAACAATGGATCGTTCATCAACTCGAACTCCCTAGATGTCCGCAATATCGGTCAGAAGATCAAACACGTCCTAGACAGCACGTCTGATGAATCCGCCGATGGCCCGGGCGGGCGACACGACAACGACTTTACTCAGATCCATAAGATCAAGCTCCTACCAACGCCAGACGAGTTCGCATGCTCCGAAAATCCGTTCTACAGACGCGCAGATTCTGTCGCGTCTGCCCCATTGGAGAGTCGTGGGCTGACTCATATTGACAACCAGTTTCGCCTGCTTCGTGAAGATCTCTTGGGCGAACTGCGCAACGATTTCCAGATCGCTAGTGGCCAGAAGAAAGGACGACGGAAGACAATCCTCGAGCACCTGAAGTATGCTGGTATCGACTGCGGACCGGAAACGAAACGCAAGCCTTGCTCGCTAAAACTCTCCTGCCCAGACGACATTCCACAGCTACGCAATGTCAAGGGCGCTGCTCGCAAGAAGTACCTCGCCGACAACAGAAACGTCCTGAAACACCAGTCACTCGGCTGCCTCATTAGCAATGACAATATTGTCGCATTTGCAACTGTAGACCGTGACGAAGACCTTCTTGCTCAGCAACCTGCTATCGTCGTGCTGCGTATAGCCGACGCTAGTTCGTTTGGCAAAGTGCTAATGGCATGTAAGCTCGCAGCGGACCTCAGCTTTGTGCAAGTGGATACCGCGGTTTTTGCGTATGAACCTATTCTCAAACGTCTCCAGTCCTTGACTGAGCTGCCACTGGAGGATCAGCTCCTCAGCCTCACTACAAATTCCGCTGAAACAGTCTCTGGTATCCAACCGACCAAGACCATCAACGCCATCTGTGACCATTGGGAAGAAGACCTTCAAGACATCATTGGAAGTAGTCACTCCATCAAACTGGATCAAGCCCAGGTAGCTTCTCTGTTGACTGGTCTACTAAAGAAGGTTAGCCTTATTCAAGGCCCACCAGGAACTGGTAAAAGTTTCATCGGCGCACTCATCGCAAAGATATTACACGATCAGACGAAGGAGAAAATGCTCATACTCACATACACGAATCATGCTCTGGACCAATTTTTAGAAGACATCCAAAAGGCTGGCATCCCGGCTAGTTCGATCGTGCGACTAGGATCGAAATCGAATGCCAATACTCGTGCACTCAGCATCAGAGAACAACCGAACAACTACAAAATGACTGCGCAAACATGGACTTCAATTCAAGACCAAAAGGTGGAAGCTGAGTCTTATCATGACGCGCTAGCCACAAGGATGGCATCCTTTGATTCTACGCGGCTCAGTGAACGACTGCTTCTCGATTTCTTGGAGTTCTCTGATGATTCAGAATACTTCGATGCATTCGTCGTGCCTGAAAACCAAGATGGCATGACGATGATGGGGAAAAACAATAGGCGCATCGATGAGTACTATCTAGTCAAGAGATGGCTTAAAGGTGAAGACGCGGGCGTCTTTTCGAGCCACGCGATGCATACCTATCCCCACGTTTGGAATGTCCCGCCACAGATCCGGTGTGATCTCCAGGCGCAGTGGAATAAGACCATCCTTGAAGAACGAGTCGCTGAAATCAGTGTGCTTGCCGATAAGTACAACAAGTGTCGTGCCCAGATCGATCGATTGTTTCGCGAGAAGAACTTCCACGTCCTTGGTCAGAAACGAATCATAGGGTGCACTACGACGGCAGCTGCCATGTACAACGACGATATTCGTAAGGCATCACCTGGCATAGTTCTGGTGGAAGAAGCTGGAGAGATTTTGGAAAGCCATATACTTACAGCTTTAACTCCGACCACGAAGCAACTCGTGCTGATCGGTGATCACAAGCAGCTACGGCCTAAAGTCAACAACTATGCCTTGACTGTAGGGAAAGGAGATGGGTACGATCTCGATGTTTCCCTGTTCGAACGTCTGGTGCTTAGTGGAGTCCCACATACCACCCTTCGCAAGCAGCATCGTATGCGCCCCGAGATCTCATCTCTCGTCAGATCACTCACTTATCCGGAGTTGAAAGATGCTGAGAAGACTCAGGGTCGACCGGATCTACGCGGCTTCCAGAGCAACGTCATCTTCGTGTCACATTCACGTCCTGAGCTCAACGCAATCAAGATTGCTGACCGCCGTGATGGCGGCGCGAACTCCAGTAAGGAGAACATGTATGAAGCTGACATGGTGCTGAAGTGTGTGCGATATCTTGGTCAGCAGGGCTATGGAACGGAAGACATCGTGGTACTGACACCTTACCTGGGCCAGCTATACCTGCTAGTGAACACATTGGCAAAGGAGAACGATCCCATTCTGAACGACTTGGATTCTCATGAGTTGATTCAAGCGGGTCTGGTCACACCAGCTAGTGCAAACATATCCAAGCGCAAGCTTCGTATATCAACTATCGACAACTACCAAGGTGAAGAGAGCGATATCGTCATCGCATGTCTCACACGAAGTAACGAAACCGGGGACATAGGGTTCATGTCTTCTCCTCAGCGTGTCAATGTGTTACTTTCACGAGCACGGAATGCTTTGATCATGATAGGTAATGCAAACACTTTCATGAATAGTCACAAAGGCAAGGAAATATGGGTACCGCTCATGGATCAGTTGAAGCGAGATGGCCACGTTTACGACGGTTTCCCTATCAAATGCGAGCAACATCCAGAAAAGACTGCTCTGTTAACCGAGAAAGAGCACTTTGACACGGTATGCCCAGATGGCGGTTGCTCTGAACCATGTGGCAAGATACTCAACTGCGGCCTTCATGCTTGCCCCCACCGATGCCATCAGTTACAGGATCACTCGCGTATGGATTGCAAAGTCATCATCTCTTCGACTTGTCCCAGCAATCATAAGACTTCAAGAAGGTGTCATGTGAAAGCCGCGGTACATTGTCACAAGTGTGAAGCTGAAGTGAGAGCGCAAGAGAAGAAGCGTCAACGAGAACACGAGCTAAACGAAAAGCGAGAGGCAAAGCAACGCGCGTATAAGGCACGATTAGTTGAGATCGACGAAGAGATCCAGCACCACAAGCGTGTGCTGAAAGAGCAGGCAGAGGACAGAGACCGCCAGCAAGCGCTCGAACAGAAAAAGCAAGACCTTCGCAATCTGCAGGAGAAGATCAAAAGTACCAGAAAGCAACCACTTTCAACGTCTCCAGCATCCGAAACAACAGCGTCGCCGTCGACCGGCGATTCAGGGCTACGGAGGGATTCTGCATCGCACAACGCGGCTTCTCCTCACCGCGACGAGACTGCAGCTAACGCCATACCTACATCGCCAGATCAAGACCAGGAGCAACCCAGTTGGGACAAGAACGAAGCCAGGGATGATTGGGAGTGGGAAAAGAAATATGAGGGTGCCGAAAATAAAGCTCTAGATTCCCTGGTACACATGATAGGACTTGAGTCCGTCAAGCAACAATTCCTCGCGATTAAGGCCAAAGTGGATACGGTGGTGCGCCAAGGGGTATCGCTTAATGCAGAGCGCTTTGGTGCTGCCCTCCTGGGAAACCCTGGAACAGGAAAAACAACAGTGGCTAGGTACTACTCGAGGTTCCTGTCCGAAGTAGGAGCTCTGCCGGGTGATCATTTCATTGAGAGCTCCGGATCAGCTCTCGCAAATGACGGCGTGTCCGCTTGCAAAGCCTCGATCGATAAGATCCTCGAAGAAGGTGGCGGCGTGTTCTTTATTGACGAAGCATATCAATTGGTATCTGGGAACAGCCCTGGTGGTAAAGCAGTATTAGACTACCTGCTTGCAGAGATTGAGAACTTAACCGGCAAAGTTGTCTTTGTACTGGCGGGCTATCACAAGCAGATGGAAGCCTTCTTCGCTCACAATCCAGGCATCCCAAGCCGTATACCAATACGAATGGAGTTCCAAGACTACGAAGACCGCGAGTTGCAACAAATATTCTGCCAGTACATCGACAAAAAGTATCGCGGGCGCATGAAGACTGAAGGCGGTATGAACGGACTCTACGTGCGTATCACTGCTAGGCGCATCGGCCGGGGCCGGGGACGTGATGGCTTCGGTAACGCCCGTGAAGTCCAGAACAAGATCGCACAGATCACCGAGCGTCAGGCAAGGCGATTGCGGAAAGAGAGACGAGCTGGCAAGATGCCGAATGACCATTTTCTCACCAAGGAGGATTTGATTGGACCAGAACCTTCGTCAGTGCTCAAGAATAACGCTACCTGGACGAAGCTGCAGAAGCTTACCGGCTTGTCATCAGTCAAGGAGTCTGTACAAGTTCTTCTTGACGGGATACAGACGAACTACCAGCTCGAAACGCAAGAGAAGCCTATTATCCAGTACTCGCTTAATCGCTGCTTCATCGGCTCTCCGGGCACAGGCAAGACTACTGTAGCAAAGCTTTATGGGCGCATTCTGGCCGATATTGGGCTTCTTTCTAACGGAGAAGTCGTCGTGAAAAGCCCAGCAGACTTTGTTGGTAGTGTTCTAGGAGGCTCCGAAGCTAACACCAAAGCCATCTTGGCGTCCACTATCGGCAAAGTTCTCATTGTTGATGAGGCTTACATGTTGGCTAGTGGTGCTGCTGGTGATCCCTACAAAGCTGCAGTTATTGACACCATCGTTGCGGAAGTCCAGAGCACTGCAGGTGAAGACCGATGCGTACTCTTGTTAGGATACAAGGACCAAATGGAAGAGATGTTTCGGGACGTCAATCCTGGCCTTGCGAGACGGTTTCCACTAGAGTCTGCGTTCGTCTTTGAAGATTTTAACGACACTGAGATTCGTCAAATTTTTGACTTCAAGCTCAAGGGTATCGGTTTTGATGCTACGGATCAAGCTAAGAAGGTAGAGTCCAAGATCAGGCGACATGCCGACTCGTGCTAACATACCTTTTTGCAGGTCGCCATGGAAGTCGTACAACGTGCGCGCAACCGCCCAAACTTCGGCAACGCAGGCGAAGTCGACATTATCCTGGATCGTGCAAAGGCTTTACACCAGAAACACAAGTCTTCTGGGAAAGTAAAGCAATTTGGCACGTTTGAAGCTATTGACTTTGACCCAAATTTTGACCGTGGTGAACGTGCAGCCACTGAGATTTCTGCTCTCTTCCAAGACGTGGTAGGATGTGAAGAACTTATCAAACAGTTCCAGGGTTACCAAAACACAGCTGCAACCCTGAAAGCTCTCGGGATGGATGCTCGAGAACAGCTACCTTTCAGCTTTCTTTTCAAGGGACCGCCGGGGACTGGCAAGACTACCACGGCTGCAAAGATGGGCAAGGTCTTCTACGATATGGGCTTTCTCAGCCAGGCCAGCGTGGAAGAATGTTCCGCTACTGATCTAATCGGACAGTATGTGGGCCAGACTGGGCCAAAGGTGCAGAAGCTCATGGAGAAGGCTATGGGTAAAGTTCTTTTCATCGATGAGGCCTATCGCCTCGCAGAAGGTGGATTCGCTACTGAGGCGATGGATGAGCTGGTTGACTGCCTCACCAAACCAAAGTTTGCGCAAAGACTCGTGGTCATTCTAGCAGGCTACGACAAGGACATCGATCGATTGATGAGTATGAATCCTGGCCTGACCAGTCGCTTCCCCGAAACGGTTCTTTTCAAGCATCTCGACCCGGAGACATGCTTTAAGCTTCTTGTCAAAGATCTACAGAAAAGGAAGAAGAAGGCGCCACTTGATCTGTCGGTCCTCGATCCGCCAACATCAGAACTATGGCAAAAACTGCTGCAGCTCTTTCGCAAACTATCGGTACTCGAATCGTGGGGCAACGCTCGCGACGTGAAATCGCTCGCGAAGAGCATGTTTCAGGCACTCATCTCTACGGCTGTACGTCCGATCACTAATTTCATACTCACACAAACGATCGTCATCAGCACTATGGAAAAGATGCTGGATGAACGTTCCCGACGAAATACCGCTGTTGGTACAAACCGGTTCGAAAAGTCCATACCTCTACGACCAATGCCGCAGCTACAGATGCAGAATTCGGCATCGCCGATGGCGCGAAGTTTAGATATCGACACGGATACTGCCCCGCCACCGACTGTGGTTGACACGGACAAGCAAGAAGAAGAGCCAAAGTCGATCGAGAAGAAATCCAAGCTTGCAGTAGAGCCCGAAGACCCCTTCGACTCAGTCTTCAAAGCCAAGCGCGACCCAGGCGTGTCCGACGAAGTATGGGAACAACTAGAACGCGACAAACATGCCATGGTCACTAAAGAGCGCGAGTTTCGTCATATGCAAGAAGAGAAGCGAGAGTACGAAGAGCGTATCAAGGATTTCATCCGTGCGGAGAACGCAGCCGCCGATGAAGAAGAACGGCGTATCCGAGAGCAAGCGCGCATTGCAGCTGAGCTGGAGAGGCGACGTCGCGACGAGGAGTTGGCAACTAGAGAGAGAGAGCGACAAAAGGAGATGGAGAGGCAGAAGAAGCTGAAGGTATTGGGTCGATGCCCAATGGGTTACATGTGGATCAAGCAGGCTAGTGGATACAGGTGTGCGGGTGGAAGCCATACGCTTTCCGATAGTTATGTCGATTCGGCATCTTTCTAAAGAGGCAAGTCTCATGAAAGCCGGTGGTTGCTTGACTGTCCATCGATGTCCTTCGTCATTAGATAGTTCGTGTTGCGGAAGGCACATGCGCGATGGTGGCCACAGGTGATTGCAGTAATATATTTGAAGGATCTATCATTACGTCCGTCCATTGCAGCACATACTTCCAGTACTTTGGACGTATATCGGTCGCATCATGCCACGCATATGCCGATGACAATGCATCAATAAGAACAAGCAATGCTCACGTGAAAGGTGCGGCATACATTGCGCTAACACTGGTAGTGACGCCGATACGTACGGCAGCCCGATTACTGAACCGTCCCGAGGTTCCGAGGCGTGCATCGCCCCCGCTTTGAAGCTAATCATGAACGCTAGGTCCACACAACCCATGAACAACAAAGTTGCGGTGGTTAATATCTTGCTACCCATCTCCAGGACAGGATGTGAGACACATGAAGACTTGACAACGCCTAGGCGCACTCATAGCACTATACTGCCGTAACTTGATATTACCTAGTCTTCTGACATCCCCCATTTGCAGGAACCACAACACAACCCTCGACCACCATGTCCAAGAACGCTGCCAACAAGCCCGTCATCGCCGTCGTCGGCGCAGGCCCAGGAATCGGCGAAGCAGTAGCTCACCGCTTCGCAGCAGAAGGATTCGTCGTCGCACTCCTCGCGCGGACAGAAGAAGCCCTGCAAACCATGGCCAAGAACATCGACAGCGACGTCGGCACCGGCACAGCGCATTACTACATCACAGACCTGCGCATCGAAGATACGGTAATCTCATCGTTTAAACGCATTCGCGAAGAGCTTGGTCCTGTCAACGTGCTCGTTTACAACGCCGGCGCACGCCGTGTTAACGGGAAGTCTCTCATCGATACCACGAGCGAAGAGTTTGAGAACTTCACTAAGATCAACCTCTTCGGCGCATTCTGGGCGAGCAAATTAGTCATTCCGGATATGCTCGCAGCTGGCAAAGGTACTATCCTTTTCACCAGCGCGACAGGTGCGCTGCGCGGCATGCCTGGCTTAGCCTCTTTCTCGCCAGGAAAATTCGGACTGCGCTCGTTGTGCCAGATTATCACACGCGAGTACCAGGCCAAGGGAATTCATGCTTGTAATATTATCGTCGATGGTCCAGTGGATGGCAAGTTGATCGGGGGAGTGATGAAGAGGCAATGGGAAAGGACAGGACAGAAGGATAAGGCGGCGGACGTGGAAGCGCATCTCGTTCAGCCGAGAGATTTGGCGCATACTTATTGGTTCTTGCATACGCAGCCGAGGAGTACGTGGACGCAGGAGTTGGATGTTAGGGCGATGAAGGAGACATTGTTTACAAAGTTGTAGATCAATGATGATGTTGACTGAGCGCTTCCTTTCATGTGCATAATATTTGTGCCAAAATATTTTCCAGACACAGTACGCTTATCTCAAAAGATTATAATTAACCATGGGTGACGAGTCACTCATAGCTATCGCATTGTGTAAGACGCCAAAGCCCACTTTGTAGATAAGGTAAACCAAGAAATAGAAGCATGACAAGAGATATGCACGTCGATCAGGGAAGAATATCATCGTTTTGAACTCTTCGTTGAACTCCTATAGAAGTTGATAGTGAGATGTCAAATACTACAAGCGAGCTTTGACAGCCTTCCCCTCTTCCTCCGCCTTCGCTTGTTCCACAAGTACTCTCCTCAGTATCTTGCCTGCATTGCTCTTCGGTACTACTTCTACGAACCGTATTCCACCTCTGAGCTTCTTATGCGGCGCTACACGCTTGTTGAACCATTCATGCATCTCACTCTCCAGCTTTCCATCACCCTTGTACCCTGGCGCTGCAACAATGTACGCTCTTGGTAATTCTGTTATTCTTGATGCATCATACACCCCAATAACAGCTACGTCAGCGACGGCCGGATGACCAAGCAAGAGTGCTTCGAGCTCTGCAGGCGCGACCTGAAAGCCATTGTACTTGATAAGTTCCTTGAGGCGATCGGTGATGAACAGATTGCCATGTTCATCGAATTTTCCAACGTCGCCAGTATGATACCATCCATCAGCATCGAAGGCTCCAGCAGTAGCTTCCGGATTGTTGTAGTATCCCTTGAAGATGTTTGGGCCCTTGAGACACAGTTCGCCGTCTCCGGTGCCAGTGTCCACTTCTTTTCCATCCTTCATCAGCTTTGCTGACATGTTGGGTAACAAGCGTCCGGATGTACCCATTGGTGTGTCCCAGTCTTCGATACGTTGTGAGCATACAGCTGGCGCGGCCTCGGACAGACCGTACGCCTGCCGGACAGGAGCGCCGATGCGCTTGTTCACTGCGGCGATGATCTCCAATGGCGCTGGAGCCGCGGAGGAGTGCAGGTCGCGTAGTGACTTAAGGTTATACTGGTCCACTATCGGCGCCTTTGCCAATGCCAATGCGACAGGTGGAACAATCCATGCTATGGTGATGTTCTCGTTCTGCACCGTCTCGCAAAACTTTTGAAGGTCGAAACCCTGCATGACATATGCGGTGGAACCATAGAAGACAGGTGCCAATATCAGGGCGGCGATGCCTGCATCTTCATGTCAGCAAGTGTTGAGTACCGAGTGCATTATAATTACCGTAGATGTGGTACATGGGTAGAAAGCCAATACTCTTATCTGTCCTCCAATCCGGACCACAGCCATCGGCTGCAAGCTTTTGGACAGTGTTTGCGTTGATGTTTTCATGAGTCAACATAACACCCTTTGGAACACCCGTGGTACCGGACGAGTATACCAGATACGCCAGGTCTTCTTTGGGATTGATTGTGACTGGCTCCACACTTGACGAGCTCTTCAAAGTCGAGAAGTGCCGAACAGCTATTGTCGTCGGTTTGTGATTTCCAACCAGAAGGACACGATCAAGGGGAAGTCCGACTTTTGATGCCGCTTTACATGCTACATCAAGGCATGTCGTGTTTGTCAATAGTCCCTTGGCTTTTGAAGAAGTCAATTGAGATACCAGCTCATCGACCGTGTACATGAAGTTAAGAGGACACACAACGCCTCCTACAAGTTGTGTTCCGAAGATAGCGGGCACGATATCGACATGATTTGGCGTCATCGTGACCAGAACGTCGCCTTTGCGCCAGCCCCATTGTTCCTGAAGGCCGCCCCCGAAACGTTCAGCACTCCATCGGAGTTGAGAGTATGTGAGCTTTTGATTCGTGACAACATCTACGAATAGTACTGCGAGCGTGTCAGGTGCCGCTCGAAGAGCGTGTGGGAACACGAACCATGGTTATCAGGGTAAGGGCGATCAGGTCGTTCGAGGAAGAATGACCAAATATCGGTAGCTGGGATCGTAATACTAGGATGAGGCGATTCGATCGGCATCGTGGAAGAAACAGCTGGGACAGATGACTATACCAAAACACTCAGCTCGTGATAAATTGAAGCTCCAACATCAGCATACTTATGTAGGGCCATCAGATAATGCTTTAGTTCGGCACATCGGTTTCGCGTATATGGTAGTCGCTACGTGCGTATCAGGGGCGCAACGGCGGCGATCAAGCGTGATTAGTCGAGACTGAGAGACCTCGGAAGGGATCGACGTGCCGCGCAGTGCGCACAACGCACCCCACACTTCCCTCCGCACAGTTCCGAGCGTTTAGTAAACTCAAACCCCACAGAATCTTCACCATCTGCAACTTGCTGACATGTCAACAACATACTGACAACAGGAGGTTCACCAGTTATATCTGCTGCGGCGAGTTTGAACAATAATTCCAGCTGTGGAACACCTCGGATAGGTCGCGGTTATGACAAGTCAGCATGGTTCGTTCTTTGTACGACTACGGAGTGTTTTTCGGATGGTGTGCGTAATGTTGCAGGTAAGACATGCTAGTGATAACATGTGTTTCGGCCTGACTTCTGATGTGTGCCTGAGAGAGGTGGGGGATCCGCATAACAAGGTCGATGGTATAATCTAGGAGCGTGTTTTGTTCGTCGGGTCATGATGATGAGTGTACTCGAGGTCCACAGCTTCAATAACGAGTGGAAGAGCCGAAGGGGCGGTCAACTAGAAATGGCTGACTTGGACGAGAAGCTAAATGCGCGTTCATCATCGGTTCATTAAAACACTTAGACATGCATCTCCTGATTAGACTCTGCCGTCGTCTTGATAGTCGATTTGTATATGTGTAACCTAGGTCATGCCCGTAGACTTGCCTCTAGCCAATGTCTAATGGTCCACTACTACGAACTCTTTGACGACAACATTCAAGATCTTCCGTTCAGATTCTGAGTAAGACTTGACGCTTAATTCATTCTTGTCGATGGCAGCACTGCCAACTGGGGTTCCATCCAATCTGTGGGGATCCATGGATTTGTATGATCTGGAACGGTTGCTGAAGAAGTTTGTCTTCCAGCTGAACTTCTGAGCAGCAATGCGGTATAGAGGCCGAAGGGTCGGCAATGAACCAGCAATGATAGCAAGGCCCATCTCGACCTCTGACCAGATAGCGATGGGGACGGTGGCATAGAGGAATTCGGGGTCCCTGAAAGTGGGCACGTAGGCGAGACGGATGATGACCGCTGCGCTTGCACTTTTGCACCATTACTCGTATACTCTCGGAAAGAAGGGCAGAATTACTCACATGCATGCAATGCTCATGATAAAGATGAGAGCGAACTTTGAGTTGCGGCTCATGTTCAGATCCTTGATCAGGAGGACCGGCAGCAAGGCCATGCTGAAGTCACAGATCGCGAAAATGGCAGACATCAGGTACGTCAATGCGACAATGGTGTTCATGCTGATACAAGTCCCCGTTTCACCCAGGGCTCGTGTCCAGAAGTACTCCACCGGCTTGCACTGGAAAGTAGCCAGCAGGCCATAGATCAAGCCCATAACAACGCTGGTGTACAAGATGACATGGGTAATAAATCGAAAGGCCTTCTGGGTGACAGACATGTAGCGGAGCAGTGACAGGCCAACAGAGACCTTGGCACCAATCATGGATAGGGAATATGTGAAGTAGCATATCCACCAAAACTGGATTGGATTAGTCATTGCCACGAACGGCTGGATACACAGATTGAACAGATTTATTTACCCTGAGTGCCATCTCCATGCTTCCAGGAGTGAGATCCTTCATAAGTCGACCGGTGCCAGTAAGTGCACCTCCAATAGCACATGTTGAGTTCATAGTGTGCATCAATTGAGCAAAAATCATCCACCCGTCATCCCAGCCAAAGGCTTTGACGACAAAGGTGCGCACATACATGCGCAAGGCGACAACGATCCAGGCCATGCACTGAAATGCAATCTCGATCTGTGTGTGCCAGTCAGACGTGTTCGTTAGGAACATCAAGTCGACACATACCTGGATCAGCTGTGTGGCACGGTGTCCGATTGCCATTGTTACTTTGCTGGTTGTGAAAAGAGTGACTGTAAACTGAGGTGAACAGGAAGTTTCGAAATGAACTGTTCGAGTAACTGTGGATCACATCTGCCCCACAGATATATATATTGGGGCTGATCTCAAGGCCATCAAGGTATGATCGACCACCTGTGAAGCAGGTACATTTGGCTACGCAGACGCGCAGGGTGCACAATGCAGGAGATGGCAATCGCGCCTCACAACCTCTTTGATATTACTCAACTTTGCTCGGAACGAAGTCGATGCCCACAGTTTCGGGTTTCAAGAGCGAATGGTGCCTTTCTCGCACTAAGGGAAATCTGCCGGAAGTGTTCAAGTGAACAGGTCCATGCGTTAATCGTGCGAACTGAACAACTCTATCATGTTCTCGGTTATAGTGATGTTGTTGGATAGGTGCAAGATCCACAATGCGCCTCGAATTCGAGACGCGTACCTTGCGAATTGTACCTTCTGGGAAAAGCGGATATTGCAGATCTGTCTGCTTTATCCTTTTCAAGGTCCACGAGTGAGCGTGAGCGTGGGCTGCCCTCGCTCAGCAAAGGAGGCGCTAGAATAGTGCTTGAAACTCTAAAACAATGCCGTTGATCAGTCGTACTCCTAGTGAACTCCAATGCCCCTCAAAGTCTTGTAGCGGATACTCGAAGGATGTGTGCTGCAATTGCGCCTTCGAGTTGGTCATCTTGTCTCGTCATTCTTCATGTTTTGCTTCCTTCTGCTCGTGAGTCCTGACGACAACTGCAAAGAAGCTGTTCTGGTCGCTCAGACTTCCCGTCTCTACAAGCGAATATCCCCACCGTGAGGCATAGTTTATTGATCAGCGAGACGGCGCAGGTTTAGATTCCGCTTGACAACGTGGATCTTTTCTGAACTAACACTTTCCGGAAAAGGGAACAACAATGTACACGTGCAGTCTTTCCTGACACCGATGAGAGACCCAAGAAGATGCGAGTCTAAGTGAGCGAGGATGATGGTTGTTTGTGTCAGGCTGTTCAAGGGGCCGCTTTCGGCAGTAGCTCAGCATCAGCCCCAAGAAGAAAAGCGGGGCTGCTGTTGAAAGGCCGACGATGATCCAAACGCGATCGAGCGCCAATGAGGTCCGTGCGATACGTCTAGTGCACGAGAGATCGCCATGATCAACAGGAGGGGTGACAACTGACAGAAGTCGGGCTAGCATCGTTCCGGACGAGGAACAAAGCTTCCATGATAAGGTAACACCTCTTCCTGATAGATGCTGCGAGCTACAACTGCGGGATTTATGATCAAGTATTGCGAAATAGGAATTTCGCTGCTAGGCGCTAGCGAGATCAGCGCCATGCGAGACCTCACGAGCGCGGCGACCTTCTCATGCCTTCATCAAGATATATAGCGCACCTAGATCATTATCTGGGGTATCTAAGCAGTTGATAACCTCAGGTACAGGACACTTGGTGCGCTCGCGGATGCACTAGATGGCTTAAGAGACTCACCTTTACGAAGAATGTATTTGGTGACAGCCAAGGACCTGGCCTAAAATAGCCACTTTTCGAGTGTCTCAATACACTACCCATTGAAATACAAGCGGCAGGATCAGGGTTTCACTATGGACATTGTGCCTGTAATCTCGGCCTCTTCAAGCAGATGCAGTCAGATTAGACCTGTCTCCGTCGCTACAGAAGTTGTGAGCTCCATCGAGAATGGTTCTTCTACTTTTCTTCTTGACCCCATCTCTAAAACTATGTTGCACAGCACAAGTACCACAAATAGCGGAGCCATCTCCTGGATCGACACACATAAGCGCTCTTATGCTTAGGAAGAGACTGTGTATTATTGACCTCGCTCAGGTCACAGATGGCGCTGCTGCGACCTTACGCTTCATCCTCCAAGGGAACAGGATGGTAGGATATCTCCTCCACGATTGTCGATAGGCCTGTACAGCTCTCGACCTATGCTTTCTTCTTTGAACATCCTCCTTTGATGTGGAAAGAGAGATTGACGACCGAGATAGTCTTTCCTTAGTGGGTGACAGCAGCCGCCATTCGATATCGCTATAGCCCTCTGTTATTGCATAAAACAGAGGCTTCATTTGGTGCACATCCTCCAGGTTCACGTTCGCACCAGCTTCTAGAAGCAGTTCGACAAACTCCAATTTGTTTTGCTGAACGGCAAGATGAAGAGCTGTCCACTTAGATTTCGGCCATGGCTCGTCAGGGTTCTGTTGTCCATCACTAGAGAGCAGCCGCTTCAGCAGATCTTCCTCATTCAGTAAGACCGCAAGGTGCAACGATCGCGAGTGTGTTCGAAAAGTATGCATGGCTCCTGGACCATCCTTCAACAGCAATGTAAGTCTATCCAGTAGTTTCCTTCGCTGTGTCTTGGTGACTTGCGTGTAGGGCGCGAAGGTGTCCAGTATGGGTATTATCTGAAGGAAAGCTTGATACTCGTATCCAGGCGGCTTTCCGCCTAGTAATTTCTCGAAGGATGTGAAAGGCTCATGCAAGAAGTGTCGGTACTGGTGGATGTGTTCTAATGCAGAGAGACTGCTCCATCGCTTTTCTGGAAGCTCAACTGAGCATCCGTCGAAAACCTCTACCATCCCAGGACCAGGTGAGAAATCTTTTTCGACTTCTATAAGAGACTCTGAGATAGACTGTCAGAGCAAAAATCAAGCTATGGGCCTCGAAAACACTAACTTGCAAGGCACCAGACATCGCCTTTCGTAGACCATTGACGGTGCCGCTCCTCTAGTGAGAGACTTGCACCTTGGATTTCCTAAAATAGATCAGTATGAGCTCGTCTTATCGGCGACCGAAACATTATCAAGCTTACTGGTGGCCAATACTCGCGTGTCCCTCTATATGTGGGAACGGTCATCGGGCCGGCGGCTTTCCAGTTACGAACGTGTCCCAAGTCACATAACTTCGCGATTCGCTGGCCGTTTGGCCCAGAGTTCAGGACGACTTTTTGCAGAGCCTGGTTAGAACACGAAAACAAGTCCGCGAATGGTCATCTCGGATGTTTTCTTACTGTTATGGGGCTTTATGTCTCTGTGCAACATAGTGTCCCAGTGATGCTCAACGCGACAGGCCCCCTCTTTTGAGATCGAGATGCCGTAATGGAGATAGGCCAGAGCGGCAAATAGCTGGTACATCAAGGTCCAGACAGCGTCTTCATCCAAGGCTTGGCGCTCTACCGCCTTCATGGACGTGGGAGGGTTTTCATCCGGGCTAGTCGTGTCAGATGAGTCTTGTATACCTGCTTCAGCTAGGAGCGCTTCGTCTTCTTCGTCATCGCTCGCGGGCCCTTCATTTTGCTGTGTCCTGTTAACATGCCTTGTTTCCAAGTCCCCACCATCGCAATATTCCAGATACAAGTTATATTTGGACTTCTTCTGCTCTAGTTGAATAAAGCCCAGATACGAGACAATGAAGGGGTGGTCTAGGCGCTGGAGAGACTTCTTCTCGCGCATCAGAGATAGTAGAAGAGTTTTCCGCTCGGCCTTTCTGTTTTCATTGCCGTCTAGATGAGACCAATCGTAAGTTTTGGAGAAGATTATCTTTGAAGAGATCAATTCATGCATGTGCTAAGCCCAAAGGTTTGGATTATAGACTTACTTGTGGCCCCTGACAATCCCCTTGCTTTGACAAAATATGACAGGCTGCTTGTGACGGCCGACTCATGTTTGAGCTTGCTTCAAGCGCCATGTCCACTTGATAAGAATTCCAATCCAGCGATTTTCGTGTCCACGACTCTGCAAGAGGGGTCTCTTTCTTCAAATTAAAGAGTGTCGGGTCAGCATTGCCAGCAATCAGCCTCTCTCTTGCTTCTTCTTGATCAAACCGAACCGCAAGATGCAAAGGCCTGTCGTCCTCCTTATCTCCCACATTTGCATCAGCACCTGCTTCCAGAAGAGTAGATATTGTCGATGTATTTCCCCATTCGGCAGCGAAATGCAACAACGTTCGGCCATCTTCGTCTTTCTGATTTAGCTCCTCCACCGATAATCCGAGGTGGGAAATAAGCTTGTCTAACACTTGGCCGGTGCTTTTTTGCGTAACGACACGTATAAAAGGCGCTCCTTTCACGTTCAAGTCCGACAAAACTTGTAGTTCTGTGTGTTGGAGCAATATGTCAAGTGTTTCAGAGCTCGAGTTTGAGAGTGCAGCAATTGAAAGGGGCGTTTCGCCACACTCATTCTCCGCAGTAGTACTCGCATGGTGTTGGACTAGCACCTTAACAATGTGAGCATCGTCATTTTCGACGGCTATGTGTAATGGTTGACGACCGAGGTCGTCACACTCGTTGCTCGCAGCATCACTCTCAAGGAGAGCGGTAACCACGCTTTCCATACCTGTCCGAACTGCGTAAAATATGGCTGCATCTCTGTTTGCAGAAGCTGTAAATGGCTCTCGACCGGGATCCTGCGGGTCGTAGACCGATAAGCAGCAATCAAGTGATTCGTCATCAGAGAGAAATCTCAGAGTAAGTTGCTCAATATTACTCTGCTCCTCCTTCGTGTATACTTCCCAAAGCTGTCGTAGGTGCGGTATCCAGTGTTTACTAGCGTATTGCAACAAGGGAAAAGTGGACATATCGTTTGTATTTCCTTCCCGGGCCTCCGATCTTGCATAGAGCAAGACGTACTGTATGCAGCATTCGGCCATATACAACCGAACTTCGTCCTGATTCGTGTAGAAAGTCCCCAGAGCATCTTTGGTGATAATACCCGAGGAAAGAGCATTCAGCAGGTCTCGATCCAGCCGAATTGATGGATCTGGTCCTGGAGACACAAATGGGGCTAAAATTGCCAAAAGAGATTGTGGATCGTGAGCGCGTATCTCGAGATCATGTTCGAGGTCATGTTCGCGTAGAGCAACAGCTTCCGCTAACGCTTCGACAGACAGCGGCTCTAATGCGAACGTCAGCCAACTGAGGGCCGACTTTGCCAATGGATGCTGTTCGACGGGAATACTGTCGAGCAACTTCTCGTAAGCTATTGACGAGATATTGTGGTCGGTCATGTGATTCTGGAACGAGATTATCGAGCTTGGTGTCGATGTCTTCAGAGCTTCCTCTATGTCAAGATTGCGCCGACTCGTGATCAGAATGTAAAGCTTGTCCGGATGCTCTAGACGCAAACGGTTGATTAGCTCAAGACATGAGGGACGGTCATCTGGTCGACATTCATCCAAGCCGTCAATGACCACAGATACGCGATCGAAAACAGAGAGCGTTTTTATCAGCAGGCCAAAAACTTCGTCAACCGTAGGTCGACTCCCAAGGTCGAGCTCCTCGAAGGCCGGAGATTCTTCTATGCCATTCACCCTTGTCGCTATCTGGATCCATAGCTGAGAGAGTAGAGCAGAAAAAAGAGCAACGACGGTGTCAAGCTCATAGTTCCAGGAAAAGAAGAAGTAAGCCAGTCCTATCCTCTCTGAACTGGATTTGAGTAGTTGCTCGACTACAGATGCACTGTAAATCTTTGTGAGAAAATGGTGCGCATTACATTAGCGAGCAGTTTTTGGATGGACGGACCTGAGCACCGACTTGCCACATCCCGCTGTGAGTAGTTAGGAATCAGCCTTAGACCCATGACGTCAAAATTTGAGGGATCTCACGTGGCCCAAATATCCATAGTGTACTTCGTCCCGTGGATTGCAACCAATCTTGATATCTCCCGTCTTCAAAGATCCAGTTCGTGATACCGGGAGGACATGTAACAAGATGACGTTCGTATATCATCCGACCCTCTGGAGGTGCTTGCAGCCATCCAATTGCCTGCTGATAATCTGGCGGAAGCATCGAGGTCTCCATCATGGAAGTGATAAAGAGACGCAAGCAGGTCAAGGATCTGAAGAGTGAAAGTTGATGTTTCTCTGCGAGTTTGGCGAGCTGCAAGCGGGGCAAAACAACGCCAGTACTAGTCAAGACTGGCGTGAAGCTAGCATGTTCTATGAGCGGGCGGGCCGTGGGGCCGCATCGGTTGTCAGCTCAGCTCAGCTCAGGTAGCCAACAGGGCATAGCTGCGGGGAAAGTGCGGCTGAAACCGAGTAGGGATCCGTCATCCTCATCATCTCTGTGGCGACCCAGATCCACCTCATTTTCATTGACTCTGCTTGATCTATAAGAAATTCTCGTTGCCGTCCCCACCTCCAAATACGTAAAACTCACGTACAGAATGTCCGGTCTCGAAATTGTTGCTTTCGCTATGGGTGCCGTGGGGTTTGTGAAAACTGTCTTAGATATATGGGACGACATCGACAAGAAAAGGCAGGAACATCAAGAATCTGATGTCCTGGCAAAACGATTGAAGTCATTTGGACTCGCGGAGCGACGAGGAACGCTCAAGATAGCGTTGGAGCTGGCCCAAACAATCGTGAGAGACAGGACTCGGAGCAGGAACGAGGCACTCGAACTCGCGGCAAATTTCCAGCGACTGAACGAACTCCTAGAGGCCATACCCAGTGCAGTAGATGCAGTGATAAAGCTTGAGAAAAAGCCTTATGTCCTACATCGGGGATCAGCTTTCCGAGAACTCAAGTCCAAGGTCACTAGTCTTGACGAAAGGATATCCAGCTTTCATCAAAAGGTCATAGGCCTACGAGCCATTGTACAAACCGATTCTTCATTCCTTCTCAGTCGTCAGGATTTCTCCTTTGTGGGTGCGAAGCCTGAATTCATCCAAAACGGGGAGACTTCTTTCACGAGCAAAGCATCCTACATCGCACCTGGACAGGGCGCTATGGTCATGCAGGAAGTCGTGCTTGAGAAAAGATATTATGGAACCCAGCCAAGAGAAGCCTTACTCGAAAGCGCGCGTATACTGTCAACCAAGTTAAGCCCTGCACTCTCAGCTTGGAACATTCTTCACTTGATAGGATACCGTGATGATGAGACCGACCAATCGGTACAACTAATTTTCTCTCATCCAGGTCCAGACAAGGAGCTGGCGAGCTTGAGTCGAATATACACCGACGGAAGCCCGGAGCCCACCCTCAATATCCGAGTTCGACTTTGCAGTCAGCTAGCCGTTGCTGTGCTTCAGACACACAAGTTGGGACTGGTACATAAGCACATTCGCCCAGGTAATCTTCTGGTAAACTTCGACAGAGCCTCGAACGGCGCTATTCAAGAGGCCTCGTTATTTTTGGCTGGGTGGCAGAATGCACGTCTCATTGATGGCGTAGCCACAACTCTAATCGGCGAGACGACGGCATCGAAGGTAATTTACCAACACCCAAAACGCCGCGTCGAAGACAATCGAGCCAAAGAAAGCTATAACATCGATCACGATATTTATAGCCTTGGTGTATGCATGCTCGAGTTGCTCACCTGGGATACCCTCATTCGACAAGGTGAAGACGAGCTAGCAGATGAAATGATCTCAGATGCATATCGACATGCATTCAAATCCTTGGGCTTCCATCAGTCTTTTCCTGGTGAGACAGAGGATGAAGAGGACGGTGGCCCGTCGGAGGCAGAGTTATATACGTACAATGCAGAGCACACGAAGAAAACCCTGGAGATCCTGGCCCAGAGCCTAGTGGCGAAGAAGGCAGGCGAAACTATGGCAAACCTGGTGTACAGATGTATAGCCGGTGTCTTTCAACCCGGAAACGACCAGATCCAGACAGAGGAAAAGGATCAGGTGGCCGAACAATTCGCCAACGATGTCTTTGATGATTTCAATAAGTTGCTGTCTGTCTTGTAGTTATGAATAAATGTGATTTTCCATGGGTCCATGTCAACGAGCGGTGGATTTGTATTGCAATTCGTGGGAATGTGTAAGAGAATAAACGGTTCTTACTAAGCGTTTGCCAAACACGTGTTATCAAATCTCGGTGCCCCCTCCCTGCCAGGGTCTTCACTCCAGGGACATGTCGTCCCTCTCCACAAGCTAGACGCGTCTGTATCACATCCGCTACCTAGGTATACACGTCTACACTCGTCTTTGCCCTACAATATCCACTTCCCATATCCACCCTCGCTTTGGATTCTTCTCCTATCACAGTACGAATTGATGAGCTGCACCCTTTGATGATTGTATAAGTCGGCTTTTGCGATGAACGCAGGGGACATTCACATGGTTCTGTACAGAGATGCATGAAAGTTTGAGTGTGAACGTCAGCTCGAACAAAAGCTCAGCGGCCAATGCCACCCATCATCCTGCTAATGTCCATCATGCTCATAACGTTACCGTTTCCAGGACCACCCGACTCCATGGAACGTATCATCTTGCGCATCCCTGCACCGTTCTGACCCATCGATTGCACACCGTACACTGCCTCAGCCAACACCCTCAATTGCATCGGTGCCCTGTCATCACCATAGTGCTGAACCATCTGGGCTTTTGAAACCTTATTCCGTACGTCGTTCCATTCGCCGCTCTCAGCGAACTTTTCGCATTCGGCACGGTGTTCAACATCCCACCATGGAGGCAGTAGATCCCTCCTGGTGGCCGCCTGACCAAGAAACTTCTTGAATGGTTCGATGCTTGAAGGGTTCCCGGTGTAGATGCTGTTGGGCGTAGGCTTGTTCTCAAGCTTCATATCATCCTCGGAGCACATGCGGAATGTATCGATCAGTAGCCGATAGACATCTTTCTCTGGACAGTCGTGCAGATACTTGCCATCATCTAGTCGCGCGAACGGATCTGGCACGTGCTGCTCAAGGGACTTCATGCGAGGTGCTGAGTAGTTGGTGCTGTGGGTTGTGTTTGGCGGGAATCCGGCGTTAGCATTGGCTTGTTGTGCGCAAATCTTCTTGTGTGTCTTCCAATCGGCCTTCTGGCAATCGCGGCCACAATAATCTGTTGTCTTGTATTTGGAACATTGCTGGAGACTTGCCAGGCCACAATCAGCGGCTGTCTTCTTGCAGTTGGCACATGATTTGGGCGCCATATTGCTCATGATGATGTATCCTTCCATATTCGGAGATTTATGGAAAGTTGACAAACAAAATGATGAATGCAGAACAAGACTTGAGCAAACTCCTCAGGACTGAGCAAACCATAGAGCCTACGAGCAGGCCGCGCTCTTAAGCCGTGTCGGAAAGCGAGAAATCGCTATCTGCATCTTGCGTTGACCCTGGTTGCGATACACGCTAAAGGGAAGTGGGGGCGAAGGTTCTAGCCGCCTCACGTCCGCGCCGCGAGTTCACGTGCCTTGCAACAGTCAACTCACCATCCGTGAGACCAGCGGTATACATATCGGAATACCATATGCATCTTCTCCATAGAAAGTAGAGCAGTCGAATCACGACAAAGTGATCGCAGCTTCGGATTGAGCAACATGGCCGTAACACGCGCCTGCTCAACTCTGCGTGACAGTCTCCACCCATGATGATGATGTCATCTCACATACATTGAGCATTCCAACCAAGTATCGGAACTGCATTCTGCACCGAGTGAATTCTTTCAACATCGCGGGATATGTGGGGTTAGACGATGGTATTCAGGATGCGGGGAAGCTACACGCGTCTACAACCCTTGTCCCCGCTTTGGGGCGCGGATTACGGTCGATAACGATTCTCATTGCAGGCCTAATATTCGGACAGGTTACATATAAGAGATGCTCTAGGTTTGCCCTGTTGACATACGCATACGTCTTTCTCTGCGCATTCTGAACCAGATAGTGATTTCTCAAGCTATACACCTAACACTATCAATACTACTAATAACGACATCATGCAAAATCCATCCGTAATATTGTACGGACCCAAGACCGCGAGGATTCAAGACGCCGCGATACCAGAGTTGGTTGACGCTCACGATGTGATAGTCCGCATCAACTACGTCGGAGTTTGCGGAAGCGATGTAAGACCATGACCACCACTCTCATCCACGACAACATTCCCCACTATGTAGCCATCCCAACCGACTGACCAAACACCCAGGTTCACTTCTGGCACCACGGCGGCATCGGCAAAATGATCAACCCTTCTACCGGCATCGTGATGGGACACGAAGCCTCAGGCACCATCCACTCCGTCGGCTCATCCGTCAAAAGCGTCAAACCCGGTGATCGCGTAGCCATCGAACCAGGCATGCCTTGTCGCATATGTAAAGCGTGCAAATCTGGAGTCTACAACATGTGTCGCAGCATGCGCTTCGCTGCCGCACCTGGCCCGCCTGACACGCAAGGCACACTGTCCAAGTACTTTCGGAGCGCGGAGGACTTTGTGTACAAGATTCCTGATCAGATGGGTTTGGATGAAGCGGTCCTTGTGGAACCGCTCGCTGTCGCTGTGCATGCAGTCAAGCTGGCCGATGTGCGACCTGGCGAAACGGTCGTGGTGATGGGAAGTGGAACGATTGGGCTGTTCTGCGCGGCAGTTGCACGTCAATTCGGCGCGCATCGCATCATTATCGTCGATATCCTGGAGAAGAAGCTGGAGTTTGCAGCCGATTACCTCAAGTGCGAGACGTTCCGCTCATCGACCGAAGTAAGCCCAGAAGAGAATGCCGAACAGCTACTCAAGAAGTTCGATCTCGTGGAGTCCGGTATCGATACTACTGGCGGCCTCGTAGATACTGTCATCGAAGCCTCCGGTGCAACTTCCAGCATCGACATGGGTATCAATGTTTTGCAGCCGGGTGGCAAGTACGTTCAGACTGGGCTCGGAAAGCCGAAGATTGAATTTCCAATTGTGGCTATGAGCCAGAAAGAGCTCATGGTGAGGGGGTGTTTCCGATATGGTGCTGGAGACTACGAGCTTGCTGTACGGTTCTTGGAGAAGGGCTTGATCGAAGTGAAGCCTTTGATCAGTTCGATCACGCCGTTTGAGAAGGCGACTGAGGCGTGGGAGAAGACGTCGAAGGGTGACGGTATCAAGAATCTGATTCAAGGTGTTCAGGATTCATAAAATGCGGACATTTTCGAGTTCAATCTCCCACATTTCTATACTAAACAGGACTCTGTTCATCTTCCTCGATCCTCCACTGCTCCTTTCTCCAAACAGACTCTGCCCATTGCCGTAGTGATCTCCATGAGTGACACATGCACGGATAGGAACCATACCAGACACAGTCCTCCACCAGGTCTTCATTATACGCGACATCAAGGCTGTGATGAGCTTCAATGTTTTCCAAAACGCCCTTGATGTCTCCTTTGCCAAATTTAGCCTTCATGAAATCCATACGACTGAACCGAAATCCCATCAATGGTGAAGCCAGATCCACAAGGTTTGCATGGCCATCGATCCACAGTTCTTGTAACTCTGACCCACTTTCTTCTCCCCGTGAACGTCTATTGAACATGTCCGTGAAATACAGAAATATTTGCATCTTCAGTTGTCCAACTGTAGTGTTATTAGTCTCGTAGTGCAGCTCCCGTCCATTAGTGTGTTCAAGCTGGATCACGAGAGGAACATCATCTCTGCAATTCTTGTGTCCGATCCCCTCGAGCCAACTGAGAACAGGACTTATATTGATACAGATATCTGTAGGTTTGGCGGGGCGGACGAGTGGGACACGAATTAGCAGTGTAGTTTTGCCGTTGTTCTGCTCTTTGCATGAGCGGTCTTCCACACTTGCTGAGATAATTTGGCTGTCGAGGCTAAGGTTACGAGAGCGTAGACGATCTGGTAGGTGTGTCATTTTTGGGTGATACAGATCCCGTTTCAATAGGTCTTTTGAAATGAGTGAATATCTCCTGAAAGCGTCTAGAGCATTGTGGTCCATATCTGCTCGTGACACCTCAAGCTCAACAGTGATTGGTATGCATGCGGCAACTGCCTTCACAAGACCCCTCCGAAATTTCCGGGAAACACCGGAAACGGCTCGGTGACAGCCTAGAGGATTCAAGCCGTTCATGATGATTCGAAGCCTTGGTTCATTCGCGAACAAATGGCGACAGATGATATCTCTCACTTGTACAGGAAGTTGCATGAGTGACTCAAGTGACTCAAACTTCTCGGAGTCATGCCAGGCCATATCTCCGGATTCTTTGCCGATCGAGAAGACGCGTGATGTGCGCCGTGACCCTGTGTAAAAATCTACGCAGCCCCAATGGCCAGGGTCCTCAACAGTGAGAGATGACACGATTGACCTTGAGACCGGATAACGTCGAACATGTAACGTGTTGTCCCTGGCCAGAAGGTCAAATTTTTCGTTCAAGCGGGTTACATACCTCGTGAGGTCCCGGACGCGCGATCGATCGAAGTCTGTTCTCCTACCAATGTGACCGAAACTGATAGCGCATCGCATTAGAACTCCGTCCCAGATAGCTCTTAGTAGCGGTAGCCAATCTGGCGTGGATTCCACATAAGCATATGGGAATCCTGACACGTCTATGACTACCTTCTTCAATCGCCTGACCTGGGATCCAAGTGATGCAAGTCACTTCGGAGTGTAAGATACTTGGTGGTAAGCGCGACGATCTCCGATTTCACACGTTTTCCGTACCTCCGACCAGACACGATCGCGCACCCGAGAGACGACGAATGTATTCTCGGATTACAAAATACTAACCGTCTCGTGGTACATTTGGCGGCATGATTTTAATAGGCCGATTCCAAGTAATGCTTCATTTCTGAAGAGAAGTGCATCCTCCTTCTCAGCATCTGATCTTGTCTCCCACTCCCTCAAGCTTTTGCGGCAGCGCTTCCCGGCAAAGTATCGCTGCTCCTCGCTATCGAATGCTCCCCCTTCACAGTAACGGTGGCCGTCAATTTCGCACCCATACCGCCCTTGGTTGTAATAAAAGTCGGCATCATGTATCAGAATTGGTTCAGGCCGAATGAAAACGTATTCGTTGATGCGGTTGCGGATCTCCGCTGGCAATGTCAGGAGCGAAGGCGCTGTCGGATCTAGTGGAGCCGAACAGACCTTCGGTATATCCATGGCGGCGTAGAGAGATACGCGATGTTGGTCAAAGAGAGGGGTTAAGCATGGAGTTGGCTGGTGCCTGGAGCGGTCAATCGTTAGCGCCAAACGCGAGAAAGACGCGAGACGACAGCGTTCCCATCGTACAGTAGTACGGTGAGGTACTGTACGGTGATACGACGTACGTAAGCCGTACGTAGGAGACCTCTCATCGGTCCGTACAGTATCCGTAGGGGGTGAAGTTTTGGGAGCCGTAG